TTTATTGCGGATATTAGATCCAACACCTTCTAAAGACAATTTAATTTGGCGGGTTGCAGGTAGTTCATATAGCACCCCTCAACACAGTGTACCTCAAGATTTATGTATATGTTATTGTTAATATAAATTAATGTTATTTATGTGTATGTTAATCTAATTCGGAACAGTTTATATAAACGGTTTTAATTCTATTATCGAGTACACGCATTGCTCTTTTTTTTAGCAAACCATGGGCTCATTTTCTACAATTATATCTGTAGAAAGGCAAAATTGAATACCTAGAAAACAATATCTGACAGTTCACGATTCCGTATATTGTAAATCAAAGCACCATGCCAATCCTGAATGATCTTTATTTCCAATGATCATGAGCTGCTACGTGATGACAGCTAGATTAACTTGCCGATTACTTAATCTATTAGCTCATGTTTAGTACGGTATTATTAACTGAGAATAAAGAATTTATATAAAAAAAAAGTGGCCTATTATTTTGCCTTGTATTGCATTATGATGATTGAGTGAATTATTTGTAGAAATTGAAAGATTATACTGGCAACATCCTCATACTAGCGACATACAATCCCGCGTGTGGTGATTGTTGCTGTAGTAAACTTTTATAGCGAACCAAGAGTACCCATTCTATAAATATTGCATTTTTAGCCCTTGGATCTGAATTCCGGATGAAGTGATATTGTTTCTGCACGTGGGGTTGCAATATAAATGTCAACTGCCCTTATTTATGATGTGTTTAAGTCTTCAATTTGCATCGCTTTGCATTTAGCATGTAAAGTAAGTCAATATGGTTAGCACTGTGCTGTGAATAAACGCAAAGGGGACAGGTGCCAGAGAGAGGTTGTCTGTGTATACTGTTCACATGTAACATACACAGTGTATGTAACGATGACATACAATTAAACTAAACATTTTACAGTCACAGTGTTATGTTTAGTTTGTGAGATTTTAATTATACTCCACTGAGATACCACACGCGACATCCACCACAAATAGAAGAGGGACTCATATTAGTACGTTAAGTCATAAATTACGAGTTTCATGTTATTTGCACTTTGCCTACCGCCATTAACTGAGAGGATATAGCTATATTTATTTTAAATATTTATTCCCCGGGACATTCTTTAAAATTTAAAATATTGATTAATTATTAAATATATAATACATCAATATGTAATGAGAAAATTATCAAAACAACTCGCTGATTTACTAGATATTTTGTCAAGAAGAAAGTTAGTGTAAGAATTTGAACAATATAGGAAGGATATTGTTCTGGGCAAAGAAACTTTCGAAAATGAACGCTTAGACCTATTTATAAAGCAATTCTAATATTAAATTCTATCATTTAAGAATGTAGTTTTAACTTGCAGCGAGTATATTTTCAAAAGAACATTACATGTATTGTATGTAAAAGGCCGATCTTATAGTTTATTAATATAAGGGGCTATTGTTATAATTTTCATTATTGATATTATTGTCATTATCATTATTATTATATCACTTGAAGTACGGTAGTCAATCATAATAATGATAATAATAATGATGATGATAATAGGAATGATGTTTTCCCTACCTGACGTGTTATACTGACAGATCAGTACGTTCCCAAATACTTGGTGAAAATACCACAAGTTATATTACCTCCAGAACTATTATAGTCTGATACCCAAACACTAGACCACCGATCATTGGAACAGCATTGCAGTACCTGCTTCTACTTGTTTTTAATTCCTGCAGTGGTATAAATCAGTGAATTCTTATATTGAAAACCAATTTACATGCGTAATACATCTACATTTTCATTACTTATATCAAAACCAATTTGTTTATGATAAAAGTCAAATTTGTCAGTCCTTTGAAGTCCAACCCGATCCTAGCAACACTTGGCTTGGCAACTCAAGTCTCCAAGACATTGCCAGGAACTTTGCTGTGTGGTATCATAATAAACAAAAAAGCTTCATGCCGGTAAAACGGTGTAAGCTCATGTTTGCAGTTGATTTCACGAATACTGTAGACTTACTTGTAAAAGTATGTCGATAATATTTAACTTTTTTTTACCCGATCTGAGTACATTGCATTGGTAAAATGTCACAAGCAATTTTCATCTAGGGTTGCAATGGTTGGTGACAGCGAACTTAGATTATGTTCATGGTCTGTAGTCTTGGCATCAATCCGGCTACGGAAAACAACTGCAGGAAGTAACAAAGTACATTCAATGAACAGATGAAAAATATGAATGGAAAATTTAGCTTATTAGGACGCTTCCGATTGTTATCTCACCAAGAGAGTGCACTTTTTTGCAGTGGACACTGTCGGTTGTGGATGAGATATTCGAAAACCTACAGACAATGCTGTAGCAAGGATTTTCAAACTGTGTGGGACAATATCAGGGTGGACCCACTTTGCGTAAATTCAAACTATGTGGACCAATTTTCATAAACGTCGTCCCATTCTACACAAAAACATGAATCTGAACCTATTTTCTTAACAAGTGATCCATTTTACGTAAAATATAAGAAATCTGGACCCATTTTCTTAAAACTTTACCCATTTTACACAAAATATGAGAAATCTAGACCCATTTTAAAAATGTGGACCCATTCTTTGTGGACACAATAGAAAGATTGTGTGGAACTGTCCCAACTGTCCCCATAGCTAGCTACGACATTGCTTACAGAAAGTTCAGGTATTCACAACTTAATTTTATTCAAGACTAAAATTTTGTCCACTACAATTCTGGGTGCATTAAGAAGTAATCTGCGTTTTTTACCTATTTTAATACATCGTTGTAAATCATGTCTGGTAATAAAAATACCGTGTTTACTAAGCAGAGTGTACCACATTTGTTCAACAGAGTCTCTAATAGCCTAAACATGTACATAACAAACGATCAACTTTCCCTCCGGGTAATGCGACATAGCTACGTGACGTTTTGAGGTATAAACCCATAGCTTTAAAAGCTACAGGACGAAAGTGTAACCGCATACAAACGTATGCATTGCAAAATGTTTTGAGCCTTTGCCAAAGGAATGTGTATTTAATTGTGATTGTCTTCCTAGTTTACTGAATAGGGCACATGTGAAGATATGCCCACGTGTGTTTCGAAACATATAATATTATACTGCGTAAGGGTAATAACAACTCAGATACGTAAAATGTGGACTTTAGAAACATTAAAATTTATTGAAACGAATATTTCGACCACTCCTCTTTGTCAACACTTGACATAATATTATATATATATAATATATATATGCCTATATATATATATATATATATATAATTAACAAATAGATAAATAATAATAGTGCAAATATTTGCCTAAATTTAATAGCATTTCACACGGCTATAAGCTTTCTTTGTGTGTGCGTCTGTGTGTGTTTCCGAATTTTTTGTATGCATTATTTTAATATATCAATATACTATTATTCTGATCTTTATGTTTTATACATGTAGATATTTCACTACATCCAGTATATGGAAACATCGTGGTTCCAGTATGGCTAAGAAAAAAAATCTGTTTAGTGACCACTTTGCATCAAGTAATAGAAAGAACTACCCGGGTGAAACTTGTCTGCTACAGTCGAGAGAGCCTTTTTTCAGTAGAAGTGCTTTCTATCACTAAGTGATAAAATTAGCTTATCAGACAGGGTAAAATTCAACAAAATGACAACAGTTTTCCTAAGTGGTGTTGCTGGATCTTTTTTCATACGTTTCATGTGCGCCTGTCATTTTAGGACTTTAGAAGCAAATATATTTCAATGATTTTTTGAATTTTTTCTTCAACTTTGACATTGCTGTTATGGATGGTAAGTTGATCTTTAGCCTTCCTAATTTCACAGAAATCAATTATGATTTCGTGTGTCTTGTCTGTATTAAGGACAAGGTTTTAGAAGCCTATAGCAGCGTAGCTCAGTCGGCTGGTGGTAGCCAATGTGTGTGCGCTGAAACGTGGAGTTTTTTTTCAGACCTTTCGTCGCTGGTGCAATTCCATCCACTAGTCTCCTTGCTGGAAAACTTACAAGTTAGATAGCGCACTATTTTACGGATGAAACGTTTAAGTCGTTGGCCCCATGTTCAATCTATGTACACGTTCAAGAACGCAGCAGACTATTCGGCAACAATTAGTGAACACCTTCACAGCTAGTAGGCTACAGTAAAGATTACGGTAGGCCTATATCCTTACAAATACGCCCCGAGCACCATGATTTTCCCGACGGGGGATTCGGGGGTGGCAAGGGGAAGG